TTTACTGAGTTGGAATTTTTTTTCAGTGTTACATTTATTTTATTTATTCTTTTTATTGACAGCACAAGGGCACAGAGGAAGAGAACGAGAGCAGGATGGTGACAGCAAAAGAGAGAGAGAGCAAAAAGAAAGAGTGGACATATAGTCAAAGTCAACTCCATAGTTATAAATCCAAAGTATCTTCTGTTTTGACCACATTCACCATATTTATATCATTACACTGGGACTTTTTAGGACAACCTGACAATAATGATTTGCAAAATTGAACAAGTAGTATAAGTATAGAACAAGTATAGATTGTTTTTTTTTTTAAATGTTGCGTTGATGACTTGGTGGAGTCATCAACTGTGTGTATGTGGTTAAGAAACTGGTATAATGTTGTGCATGTTTCTCCTTTGATATTGCATCTCCTACACTACAAATAGTTAACTGGCTGTAGAAAATTCTTGTCAACATGATATTTGTCTTAGGTTTGACAATAAGGCTGCACCCTAAAAGGGGTGTGTTATTGAAATCTGGGATTATTTTTCTGAATGATTCAGAGACACTACGATAGGTAATACAACTATTTAGGTTGGAGAAAGTTGACAACATGTGCAAACAGCATATTCCCTTTAACCCTTTATATTAACTTCAAGCACACTATGATTGGGGGCTGAGCTCCCCTAAATGCTCGATTCCACAATCGCCCCTGCCATGACCTGTTTAATACCAAATGTGTCTATGCCGGTTCAAACACTTGCTTTTAGATGTCAGATAAAGACAACTCTATCAAAAAGCATTGATCCAGTAAAAATAAAAACCATTCACATTAGGACACCATCAACCCACAACAACCCACGAAAATTATAAATACCGCTTTTTCAATGCAAGCTGACAGAGCTGATCGACCGAATTAGAAGGCAGAAAAAGAGACGGTGTCCAGAAAACAGAGAGTTGACAAGCCACAGTTAATGCAGAGCATGCTTGACAGTGGGGAATTGGCTGGGGAGAGTACACAGACGTTATCAACACATTTAGGGGAACACTTTAATAAGTTCTTCCTTGGGGCTACCTCTTGCTCTTTAATTATTATTGAATTGGGTACGCCACAGAGCTAATTAAAAGTGCAAGGTATTTACTGTGGCAGTCGAAGAATGTGAGGGCGCAGAGGAGAGCGAGAGAGAAACGGGAGAGGGAAGACGTTCTGACAGAAGGTTGTTATTTTAATTGTTTTAATAGTGTCCTGGTAATGGGAGATGCAGCTATGGCTCTACATCCTTCATGCAGACTAAAGGAGAGAGGGAGGGGGAAGAGTGACTCGAAGAGCCATGCTTCAGGTCTCGTTTAGCTTCTTCTAAAATCAGACAGAAAACATGTGAGAGAAGAAAATACACTGTAAGATAAGAAGATCTAGTTTGGCTAATAAAAAACCTGGCATATATATCATATATGCCAGTCATGTATGTCCATTATGTGATCTATAGGAAATAAAGACTTTTTTCTCTGTTCAGGTCGATGATGAATACGATCAACTTACAATAACTCAAAGGGTTGCTTCAGAAACACATCTCCTACATTCATGCAAACAGCACACGCAGAAGCTTATCTCCTGTTGTTTTCTTGGACCTCTGAGGTTTCTCACTTCCTTGGTAAAAAAAAAAGAAAAAAAGAAAAGATTTTGAATGAATATAAAAAAAACTTATCCCACATAAATGATCATGAGTTGGCATGAGGTTAAAGCACGAGCCAAATTGTTGAACAGAACGAGGCAGCAAAGCCTTTTGTTTAATTGGCATAAACTACAAGACATGCACCAACCTTCCCAGCAGAGTGTGGAAGTTTTTTCGACAAATGTTGTGTTTCCACAAGTTAATTACTTAGTAGAGAGCTTAATCTGCCGAATCAGGGCAAAGTGGATTAGGAGATGAGAGCATTTAATCAAAGTGTTCTCTCTGTCTAATTACACATCCCATTTCCTGACACAACACACACTGTTATCTGCCACTGCATTTAAACATCAGCTCTTCTGTTTAGCTGCCCTCCCCTCCAAGACTGAATGATCGCACTGCCTGGATGTGACAAAATAAATAAATGAATAAAAGTCACTGAATGTGAACACATCTAGACTCGAACTAAACAGAGATGCGCGCACAAACACACGGACTTGCAGAGACTGAACATAAATGCGGCGAGGATTTGGTTCCAAACAAAACATTAAAATATATGTATAACATGTATCATTGTATAACTGCAGTGTACAGCAGACCACTAATGCAACATAATCACAAGCATCGTTCATGCCAGGGTGGGCAAAAGATTTCTCCTGGGTCCTCCTCACTCGTGTTTTAAACTGAAATTGTTCTTGTTTTGGGCATGAAAAACAATGGAACCTCTGTTGGACTCAAAATAATCAGTATAAGGAGAAATCTGAAGAAGAAAGTGTAGGAAAGAAACAAGCTTTCTGGTTTCTGTTTGCTTGCAGACTGATTTCTGCTGACCAGTCACGCTTTCGTGTTTGGTGCAAAAAGAACTGTAGTTGCTGAAATAATATAATCTCAAAACTACTGTCTATCATCTGACCACAATTTTGCTTCTTAAGAGCAAATTTTTATTTATTCAAAATGGTCAGAGCACGTAGCAGGAAGATTTGGCTCACCGACTATATTGGAAGCGCCCACAAGTTAGCGGTTGTCCCCGGAGTCATTTGACTAGCCAGTATGTTGACAGTATACAGTATATGTCACTTGTGTGAGTTCACACCAAGTCACAGCCTAATCCCACTGTGTTACATATGCATCTTCAGCACACATCTGCGCAGTATCCTTCAAACAACTTGTGCCAGTTCCCAAATCAAATCCCTTGCTGCTGAGGGGAGGAGAGAAGTGAGTGAAATATCCATGTTTGGATGTGTTCCCTCATCTGCCTGATAAATATTGTATTGAATGTGTTTTTGCATGGTGTACGAAGGCATGAGGATACCGACTTAGAGGCCATGTGCTGAAGTTACCGATCTGCTGAAAAGACAAGGCCAAATAAAAGGTGTTTTAAGTGTCTCCACGGGCATCCATGTACAGCAATTTTCCCAGGCTGTTTTTCTTGTACCTGTTATACTAATTCTTGGTGTCATCTCAGACAGCCCGCTCACACGAACCACTGTTACACCACCACAATGACTTAATCCAGCAACCTCCATGGTAACCGAATGTAACCAATCACTGTGGCTGTGGAAACCTGATCATTGCGCTCAAGTTGAGCAGTTTGGCTTCCAGTCAGCCAGACAGGTGCTCATTTATGTTCATCAAATTTGTGTGAAAATAATGGTCTAATGAAGTACAGAGGAACATATTAAGCTTTGAATATGATTAAATCGCCTCCACTGTGCCCTGAAAGGCCAATTTAACACTTCTTTATTCTTTGCACAATCTTTGCACCGAACCTTGAGATGAGAAAATATGCGGGTTCTTTTTCATTATGGCCTTTTATTCAAATGAAAAGCAAGCGTAACGTCAATCCAGTGCAGCTGTAATTGCTGCTGTACACCTACACCTGTAGGTGTTTAGGTTGAAAAAGAATCTTAAGCTATTATTCACTAGGTCACATCCTTTCCTCACATAACACACCAACATTTGACTCATAGGCTCGTGTGGTTGTGTGAGCACATTTGTGTGTTTACGTGTTTATGAATTGGAAGGCCTCCTAGAGGAGGACATCTGCTGAGCTAATAAACGATAATCTTGACAAATTGTCACTGTCTGATCATTCAAGCCGGCCTCACAATCACATTACTGAGTAAGCCATTACAGACCGGGCCAAGGACATGACTGACAGCTCTCGAAACCAATGGAGGGCGTTGCTGTACCAACGTCCAGCTGCTTGAGAGGAGGACAATAATTCATGGCCTAAGAGCAATTGGAATGTGGAATGGAGTAGTTAGGGAAATTAGTAATGCCACCCACTAACATATCCATGCCCTTCACTGGTTAGAACAGCAGCTGAGTTTATGAAGAGATGGCCTTCCGCCAGAACCGACTTTGTCCTTTTGGATAAATATGGCAAACCAGGCAACTATTGAGGGCAACGGTGTTTGAGGTCATGATGATGCAGATTTACAGTAGGTCCTATTGCGGGATACAGTAGTCTGTCCTGGCTATAGTACAAAACATTTAACCGAGATGATGACACTGGAGATGACATTGACAGCTTGATGGTGCATTTTAAAAACGCAAGACAATGCCCGTGACATGCAACCACTCGCAGAAAACAGCTCTCAGGGTGTAGACATAAGTGAACAATTTAAGACTCAGACTAGGAGTGTTGACAGACTGGTAGAGTGTAAAGGTCATGTGATAAAAAACAAACTCCTAGAAAATCAATCCACTATAAAGGATTTTAATTCCAAGCCACTGACACCCTCAGAGATGATGAAAAGCCTGACATCTTCAAATTGCCCTGTCAATCACCACAACCAACAGAAATGACATGGAAAAAAAAAGAGAAAATAAATACAGGGTATAATAGAGCCAAAACTAGTGGGACATGTAATGAACAAGCTTATAATCACACAAAGGTACCCAATGTGGACAAGTTCCTTCAGACATCAACATCAGGAGGAGCTGTTGTGCAAGCTAAATATTATTATATATTAAATATAATATTATTATAAATATTATTATAAAGAATCAGACAACCAGACTCATGCATATACACGCATCATGATAACGGACATCCATTTCCATCACTGTCAGCGTTTTTTATGACATTTTTCTTCTGCAATTTGCATTCAAGGAAGAGAGGATGGAACATATCTGTGCAGCGAGTACAGCGACGAAGCCAAAACAAAGACTAACTTACTTTAGATCTTGTAGACGCATCACACACAACAGTGTATCCCAGTCTTTTGGAGCCACAGCACATATTTTACATTAGAAAAATCACACTGCCAAACAAAAATGTCACAAAAAGTATATATTCAAAATACGAAGTGTAAAAATGTACCGATGTGTGCTGAATCTACTCACCAATAGGTGTGTCTTCATAGATGAGAAGGTAGGTCGAGAAGAAGTAGTTCAGGAAACGTGGTGGCTGGTTGGAGCCTTTGGGGAGAACGGAACAATTCAAGATACATTTCACTTTTTTTTTTATTAGAAAACTTAAACAACAAAAAGAATATTTTAGAAATCTATTAAAAACTTGAACTTTTAATCCCAGGTTAACTTCTTCTCTCAGAAGTCAGAAGTTTACCACTAAAAGCATTTTTAATGTTCACGAATTTAAGTAATAACTGCAATTTGGCATTTTTATCAAAAAATAATAATGTGCTTTGATGAATTTGAGAATTCATGAATAGCAAGTGTTGCTCATGGTCTCTGATTGGTCTTCCTGTAATATTTTTGCACATAGCTGCTTTTGTTAAACCAAAAAATAAAAAAAGAGGCAACAGCATGTTTCGATTTCTCTCCTTCTCAAATATTTATACAGCAAACATCATAATATAAATGTCTATAAATCAAACTGCACTACAGCTGTGTGTTCAGTTCATGATGTTAGTCTTGCAGGCAGCATTAAACTTTGATTTGACTGCAAAATCAAACTTTGGACATTTTCTATTTTCCCACCATTTATCTTGGATTTCGTAATCAAAGCTTTCTTTAATAACCTCAAGGAAGCTTTTGTGCAAGTTGGGTGTTTGGGTTTTTCCTGCTGTTCTGTCCGTATTCGCTTCCCAAATCTCTCCCTCAATTTTCTCAACTGCTTATCCTTCTCAGTGCCACCGGGTACCTGGAGCCTATCCTAGCTGTTAATGGATGTGGGCCGGGATACATCCTGGAGAGATCGCCAGTCTATCACAGGGCTAGTCTTTCCTCATCCTTGATTTTGTTATCGTCACTCATCCAATTATCTTCTCGCCTGCCTTTTATGATCCAATCAGCTTCTCTTCCCTGGTCTTTGATGGTGAATCGTTCATATTGTGTCTCACATGTCTACCACCTGTCCCACAATCGCTACCAGAGTCTAGACTCCTGGTGTCCTATCCTAAATGCCAAAATAACAATTTTTTATTATTATTTTAATATTATAAAAACTTTACATGAATAATTTTGTAATTTTAATGGTGCACATCTAGTGCAACGTGTAGGTACTGTGGTATAAAATGCGTCAATAGCTGCACTTTTTAAAAATGAGCTACTTTTTAATCCCTTTAAAAAACCTCCACTGCAGCTTTATCTTTGATGTCTTCTCTTTGTATTAATTTTTAATGACACCTACTTAAATTTAACAAACAGAAAAACCATCTGCAAAGACAAAAGTAGGAAGATCTACGTATGGGAGGGATTGTCCATTACAACACAACAGGTTAAAAGGGCCTGTTAAAGGGTTAATAGCGTCCCGTGTTTGGCGAGTGTTCAGTAATGTCAAAAGGCAGAGCAATACAAGCTGTTTTTTAGGGGGAAAGATCAGCGAACAAAGCTGATGGTCTTTGATCAGCTGAACAAGCCGGCAGACCACAGAGACAGTGAAGCAAAAGAAAGGGGAGGCCAACTTGTTTGAAGTGAGAGTGCTTGATAGAGTGAATAGGTGCTTTGAAAGTACGAGCTTTTTGTTCAGTCGTGTGCCCGTCTGTGCAGAAGAAGATGCTCATCTCTGGCTTGCCTCTAGCTCTCAAGTGCCAAGAACATGGAGCGTGCTTGACAGGGTTTGAAGATAGTTAGGGTGAGGGTTAATAAGCTCCTGTCCGTACCTGTGGTTTACACCAGGCTTGGTTAAAGTAATGCGGATTGATTACAGCTACAAAATAATCACAATGATGATCATAAATCCAATTTGCTGGATCAGGGAGGTAATGCTCAAGAGGAGCACAAGGTCAGTGTGCTAATGGGGTAGTTAGAAGAGGCGAGAGAAAGAGAGGGATTTAAAAGGTGAGGAGAAGAAAGAGGGAGCAACACGGAAAGAAAAGGTGCGAGGTGATAGTGAGAGGTGAGAGACTGGAGGACTCCAGAGAAAGAAGGTCTTGATAAACTCATTGCGCTTGATGGAAAGAGGTTGTGACAATCGCTTAATAAGTTTCCATGCTGCTTCAGCGCTGCGTGTGATTGGAGGTGTCTCCTGCCTGTCACTGAGAGACAGTTACCATGACGTCCCACAACAGCTGAGCTCTCCCTTGCTATATCTGCGCCCCCCCCCGAAAAGCCTTCATACTCAGCAAGGAAGCAAACCAGACATTTTTTTCTCGGTGGTGCTTATGGCTTAACACTAATAATGTGAGACATTATGCAAGAGACAGTGGGGGAGAGTAGAGCAGGAAAGCGTGAGCGAAGGAATGATAATGAGAAAAAAATGGGATATAGGATTGAAAGGTGCACAGGCCGGAAAAAAAGTGTGGGAAAGCACTTAGCGCAGGAAACAGAGAAGGAAGCAAGACAACTACTCCTGCTATCAACCTAATTAACTTAACCTCCTAAGACCCGAACTCTTCCACAGCATGCGCTTTTAATTTCTCTTTGATATTTGGGCTAATTGGGACCTGATGAATGTAAAAACAAAGAATAACCAGATTTGTTTTTTTTTACCTGATTTTTGTTTTTAAGATAAATGAGAGCCACATATGAGGATATTCGTTTAAAATTTCAATAGAACAGTAGCAGTATAATGTCCTCGTAAGTGGATATCAGGCCCTTGTAGAGCAAAATGGAGTATTTTGGTCTAAATAACCCAAAATGTGATGTCCACATATGTGGACACCAGGTCCTAGGAGGATAAACTAGCATCTTCCTGTTTTGTCTAGTAACTGATAAAGATACTAGAAAACCCATAGTTATTCGTGATGCCTTATTTGACTAACAAAGGTAGATCTGCAGTTAAATGTTGACACCACATAAATTTTTTAAAGCCTTTTATTCTGGGAAGTTTGACTGATTTAACACCTTTTCAGTTATTCAGTTTCAAATTCACACTGTTCTACATATTCACAAAAATAGCTGCCAACTAAAGCCACAATTTGCTACTTTTTATCCACGGTCATAAATCAAACTGAAATGCATCCACTACTGCAGGGATTTATGGTAACTGTATAAAATATGCAGCATAAAGACCTTTCCCTAATAACCAAGACTCGACAAAATGAAAGTCTAGTCTGTGGATTTACCGATCCTTATTCTTCGCAGCCAGGACTTACCTTCACAGAAAGAGTGGAGAAAGAGGAAGGCAAGGAGGAGCTTGGCGACTGCCATCCTGCCACCTAAACCCACACTCCTCGACATCACCTGCACCTGATAAAAGACAAACACAGAATACAGACAGATCATTTTGTTTACCAAAACTAGGCGTGATCCTCAATATATCAATGAAAGACAACATTTCATCCTCAATTTTACAAGCATTTTCTTGGGTTAAGCCCAACAAAAAAATGTAATGTCAGTTCTCTAAAAAAAAAAAGAAGAAGGGAATTTTCTACTGTGGAATTGTTCTTATTTTCAGTGTTTATTTCCAGATGAATTGAGCCAGAAGTTCTTAATGGCTTTTAAATTTTTATATGTATATATATACATACTGCTCCAATTTAAGTTACCACTTACATGTTTATAATTATTACTATTGGACTGCTTCAGGACAATGAATAGCTTGAACCCATATGGCTGTATGTAAATGGCATGTGGGTGTAATGTATTTAAATTATATGACTGGTGCTTTAGCATTTTTTTTTTCATTATACTTGTCCTATTTCAAATGGTGTCTGCAGTATGTTTTATGGTGAACCTGGTGAAGCCCACAAGCTGAAATGTGTGTGTCAAATAATACAGCTGTCCTGTACACTACAAGTATTGCTGGAGCTCTCTAGCCATATAATACCCCAACACAAGCACAGGGTATATCACAAACAATCAACTCATTTCAAAGTGCTTTAATTCACCAGTAACGATCACCACATGTACTGTTAGAAAGACAGTTTTCGTGAGTTTCATGTGGTTGCTAGTACAGTAGGTAGCATAACAACAGCAGCGGCTGCAGTGTCTCCAGACATGCTCGCAAAACTATGGGGCGACTTTGACTATCGTATGGACATATGCAGTGCAGGGGACACACTGAGCACTTCTGAACATTAGTTTTGTATGTTAAACTTTATGTTAAGCTGTGTATTTTGAAATGTACTTCTATGTCCATATCTCCATAATTCTTTCTACTGCCGTGCCTTGTTTCAGCAGGGCCTCACAGGTATGCAAACTCATTTGGTGATAACTTAATTTTTGAGTGTTATCTTTTCCAAATCCTCCTTCTCCCTGAAGCCCACTGTGGCATTGGTAAAAATGGTGCAAATATAGGGCTGCTTTTCCTTCACGTATCTAATAGCAAAGAATGGCAAATGACTAAAGAGACACCAGCGTAAGAAGCATGGATATACAATTCAAATACTGCTGTGGTGCCGTTAAAGGTGTTCTGTATGCAGTGGATTCAATTCCAGCGAGGCAGCTAAAATTTACAGGTGAGTGAGAAAGAAATTTCAAGTAAAGAATAGGCTGTCATTGCTTATTGTATAAATATGTGTGTGAGTGTATTTGTATGTGTATATGTCTTTATTTTAGCTATGCATGTGTGTCCCTTTCAATAGGCACATTTGTTTTCATTTGGATTCTAGTTTCCTCGGCATTATTTTATTTCAATTCCTGTAACAATGCAGTCTGTATGGCTGTCACTATTATTTGTTTTACCTCATCCCTTCATCCTTTCCTTCCCCCTTCTTTTATTCACATGAATTTATCTCTCTGGGACCCTGAACACCTGGCTTTCAGGGGAGTTTTGTTTTGAATCTGCCAAATACTGACATTTAGACAAGACCCCTTACTGCCACATCTGAACACACTGAGCAATCCTTCACTGCAACAAATTTCCCCATGTAGGACAGAAGTCCTTTAATGCTGTGAAAGGGGGTTTCCTATGACAACCGAACTAGATAAATGTAACCAAACAGTAACTGAATACAAAACACATCGGTATCATTATTTATAAAGGCTGATAAATTAAAATTTGATTGAGATGGAAGAAACACCCTTCAACCATCTTAATGTGGGATAATCGTCCACTAGAGGGCACTCTGCAACTTCCCTGTTGGTAACACAGGTGTAGAATAGCAGGAACACAACAACTAACTGATCCAAGCAGAGAGTGTGAACAAGAAACTCATGACCCCTCACAACAGTATTTATAAACTCTACAGTCAAGTAAATAACTACACATAAAAATTATTAGGGAAATCCGTTTATGTTTCATGTGTCTGATAGAAAAAATGGCGGTTAATGGTATATCAGAATATTTAAATCATCAAATATTGTTACTGGTCTTAATTGGTATTTGACACAATGTGTCAAACTTGTTAAATACAATACAGCTGGACCTAATGGTGAAATGTTTCTTATTGACGCTTGGGGCTGATCAATAAAGCCATTTCCCAGCTGTTACTCCAAAAAGATCTTAAGAAATTGTACGAAGAGAAGTGAGCAAAGGCATTCGGTGTATTTTAATTCTTTTTTTGTAATCCCATTAAAGCATTTCCTATATGTCTGCAGTTCTATATAGGATCAAGTCATATTCTATCGATTCTCTTCGAGGAAAGGCAAATGCCTGAAAACAAAAAAAGAGATCTTTGTAAAAAATTTTGTTGTGAAAGATGAATTTTGTACTAAATATCTGTTGTGCAATATAAATCATTTTTATTCACCCTGTCCTATATATTAATGGTGGATATTTACTGAAACTGAAACAGATCCCTCAGTCCATTACCTGCACACACACAAACACACACACATATAATCCAGACCCTTCCTCAGCCTTCCTCCAAATGCTAACGGACATTTCTGAGATGACAAATGGGTGAATATGACTGACGGATACTGGTCGAGACTGACACATTAGATCTGAAAGCGTCGGGAGCAGCCATGGAAAATAAAAAAAAGTCTTACTGCATCAGCATCGCTGCTGTGACCTGGATGGATTCATTATTAAACATTCTCACAAACATGCATTCCCCCAAAAGTTGCAGATGGACAATACTGTAGCTGGAGAACGAGGGAATCTCACACATCGACCTGCCTCCTGTTTATCTATGTGTGTAACCTGGATTGTGCCTATCACTCCAGGCTCCTATCACAGCCTGCCTGAGGCATAAGCAAAGTAACCAGCTGCTAAGTACTGCTTTGAGCAAATGACAAACTTGAAAGTTATTCATAATAACTTAACTCTAAAAATTCAGTAAAATGTGAAAAACTGCATTAATTAAATTTTTTTGCAGTGATCTTCTGCAGGAGCACACTGTTTCTAGTTTTCCAGTCTATGCTAAGAATGCTTCCTGTCAAAGCTGTGACCCTTTTACTTAATTTTCATTTCTGTGAAGAGACAAAAGTTGCCGCGAGCTAAATCCGATGAGTAGGCTTGGTAATGAGCAACGACTGCGTTGGTCCAGCCAAAGAAATTTACACATAAACACACTGGAACAGTGTGATGCACCACAGCTCAGGTTGGTTCCAGAAAAAAATGTTTTACCTCAGACCCTTCAGGACATGCTACGACTCTATGATAACAGTCTGACCCTGAGGGACAAACTCGTGGCGCATAATCCTCAAAAACAACAAGCATACTCTTGGTTATGTTCCTGTTCCTGGAGCCTGCATGCTTTTTGCACTGTAAAGACTGTTGTTGAGTCCCCATGTCATAGCACGTAATGCCAATGATGAGCCTTGATATGCAAGTTGGAACTAATTATTAGAACCTTTTGTGTAGTGTGCTCCCCAGGGAGAGCAGATAACAGCTACGGGGCCCCAGAGTTCCTGTTCCACACACTGGTTTTGGTTTAGGAAGCGTGATAAAGTTTTTATGATTAGCTGCACTCACAACAGTGACAACATTTATAATAATTCAGTATTTTGAAACTTTTATCTATTTTTCAAAATTCCTGTCCAGAAATTAAGATGACGGTCTGCATCAGCCACTGATTACTCCTATTTTTCTACCAACATATGAGCCACAAGACAGTTAGTGAACCAACAAACGAATACACTGTAACTGACATACTGCTGTCAGCATGTGCTGAGGTACACTCAGCTGCTCCTGCACCTTGCGGCGCTCTCGTCATTCATCCAGCTGTGAGAGAATTTATGCAGCAGCAGATGCCAGAAGCCAGATCCGTTTTCACTTTCTCTTTCCATCGTGAATTATGGCCATTTATGATCTCACATAGTTATGACAGTATTGGCCTCATTGTTAGAAGAAGATTTGACTGTCTGATGTTCACGCCTCTGCCTGCCCCTCAGCGTCTACAGTATCTGCGGTGTGATTGTTTTAGATTAATGTGGTTTTGATAGATTTTGCCTTTTGGCTTCCAAACCTTGAAAATTTTATAGATTATTACAGACATATTACACATGTTTACATATGATGGACAACATGTCTGTGGTCAAAGCAATAAAGTTACTTTCGTATATACATGGACAATCTGTAAAAACTGTAGACAGAAATAGGATGATTTTATATGTTTTGTTTTTATCTGACAACACACAGGGATGAGAAATGAATCAAAAATAATTCAAAACCAGTGTTTAGAAGTTCAGCCCCATGTTTGTTAATTCTGTGATTTTTTTCCCTTTAAAACACATTACTGTGTGTAGTCACACTATGTGTATTATGTGTGCTGTTGTAATACCATGTGTGTTGAGTCTAACCTGTCCAGTATGTAACATGGAAACATCATGAAGGAAAAGTCAAACACTAGCCGACTGCACAACTGAAGCATTGTGTTCCAACGAAAAATGCTGCATCCAAGCTTTGGACAAAAAGACAAAACAAAAAGAAGGAAAGCGAAAACTCAGTAAAAAATCATTTCAACAATGCTTGTGTAGGTTTGGTAGTTTGATTGACTGGTTTAATGCTTGTTTTGAAACACATTATATTATAAATTTAGCAAAAAGAAGCATAAATAAATGTATACTGTATTCAAGATGGCAGGGCAACATGGCCACTTCCACAAATCAACTGTGTTTTTTTTTAATGGATTAATTTTAAGTTTCTGAGAACGTATCAGTTTTTCGAAGATCTAATCACATAATGTGATCTTATCACACAAGCCAGTTTGTCTGAAATACAACATATTCCCAACCCCTCTTGTTATGTTGTAGTGCAGCTTGAAACATTAATGAAAATGAAATGGTAATTAGATTCGTTAAGTATTTAACTCAGCCTATTGTGTGAACATGTGCAGTTCAACATGCATACAGTATGTATC